AACGTACATTAATTTAAAACTACAAGTAGCACTCGAATTTTTATAACAATTAGTAAGACTGCTATTTTTTTTCTTTCATGATGAAAAAACTTGCTCGTGGAATGTTTATTTTTTAAAACTAGATCTTTTAGCAGTAAAGAAATAAATAAAACGAACAAGCATCGCACAAAACAGGTATAGATTTGTCAATAATCTTTGCAGTTTTATTTGTGGGAAAGACAATCAACATTTCCGGGGTGATAGTCAAAACGTGTTTTTAATTAATTTGAAGATAGAAAACGCAAGCTTCTGAATGTGCATGGGTCAAACTTGAAAAAACTGGGCTTCTGAAGAAGTTCTAAAAATACTTTTTAAACCTTCACCGAAATGATTCCAATTTAAAAAAAAGAAATGCGGAAGTGTTAGTAGGAAAATTAACATTCTCTTAATAAAAGTTCTCGAGTTCGAGTTAATTTTTTAAAAGCATTTATTGCTGATGTAAGGACAATTTTTTTAGATTCACAATTTGATTGTAGTAAAATATTTTTTGTGATTTATCATCATTTCAAAAGAAAGTTCATTCAGGAAGCAGACTCAATCTATTTGGAGCCCAAAAATCGGAAGTGTTACATTATCTATCCATGCTATGATTCATTGCCAACAATCAGTCCTGTCCGGAATCCAAAGGATAATTCCTAACCAGAGTTCGACTAAATACCTTTCAAACTAGTAATACTTATGCTTCGAAATCTGGGGAAATGGATTAATGCGAATATTTATGGAAGATGTATTTTAGGAATATACCAGATGAAACTATATTTTTATTGGATTCTTGGACGCCCTTTCAAAATAGAGATTTGATTGACAGTGTCAGACCAACAGCGTATTATCACGAGACTTAAAATCACTCATTCTCCTAATAAGTAAGTGGAAAAAGTTCCAGATTGACCAAACAACTTACTAGTTCCATAGAGGCAATATTTTTAAAATACAATCAGTTTTCCTCACGCGTGAAACACCTGTTCATACATATACGAACATCCAGGGTATCTTGAAAACCCGAATGATTTCATTATCGATGGATCGCTGTATAAAAAACAACGCATCCAGAGCTCGATGTAAGAAATATGCTTAAGTTTTATGCGCATCTTCAATAAGCCTCATATTTGTGATACCTTTAACCTTTAAAATCGACGCAAATCCATAATAAGGAATTATCTTTTATGAAATACTGGGTACATGAAAGATTCATTTTTCGATTTTCCAAGAGATTTGATGATTGCGAAGATTAGTTTCTCAAATATTTCATTTGTAAATTCAGTATAAAGTTGTAAAAACATATTGTATTTTTGTTTCAAAAAGGAAAAATTGTCAAGTTTTGATAACTGTACGAGTTTGATTACCGTAAACCAATTTTCAATCGCCTACCTAATGCAATTTAGCAGTTAATTTTCTGTATATGATTTTTCTATAAGTTCTAGCACCTGTAAAAGTTTAATTCTATGAGTTTATCTTGGGAACGTTTCGCTAAAAAACTGTTGATTGCTAGAAACTTTTTAAATTTTCAAGATATTCAAATCAGAATTTTTCCAATATTTACTAAATATTATTCAATAATTACTAAATATTATTAAATAATTACTAAACATTGTTCAATAATTACGAAATATTATTCAATTATCACTAAATATTATTAAATTATTACTAAATATTATTCAGTAATCATTAAATATTTTTCAGTAATTACTAAACATTATTCAATAATTACTAAATTTTATTAAATAATTACCAAATATTATTCAATAATTACCAAATATTATTCAATAATTACCAAATATTACTCAATAATTACTGAATATTATTCACTAAATAAGTTAATCAATATTACTAAAGAATTGAGAAAATTTATCTAAAATATTTTCCGCGGACGTTCAGTATGAAAGAATTGCTTTAAATGCTCATATCTTGCGCAATTTGTAACGGATTTTTATCGTATTTTAAAGCAATAATTTTGTTATTAAATTTCGTTCAATTTTATTGAATCTTTTTAAAGTTGTTGCAAAGAAATAAAAGTAAGACAATAAATAATAGTATCTCCATTTAAACTAGGTTCACGATTTTGCAATTAATGCATATCATAGCCAAAGTAATCGATACAAATTGCAAGTTTATTGCTATATTTTTTGACATAGCGTGCTCAAACTTGCTTTCATTCGTAATTCATTACCTGTCCTTCAAACCTCTGCAAACATTAAACTTTATAGACAAGTATGAGAAATTGCATGACATAAACATCTCTAAAATTATTTAATAAAAAACTAAGTATTTTTTGAAAATTTTTAAAAAATTTTAAAAACTGAAGACGTTTCTTTAATTATTGTAGAGTTGTGTAAATTTTATTTAAGAAATCGAACAATTTGTTAGGAAAAATCCTCTGGACTCCCTAAAGTCTAAAATTTCTTTGATATTCGTGTTTTTTTTCTTTTTAAAAATAAAATTAACGTTTTCCCCCTCTAAGGGGGAACTTAAAGACCATTCCGGGATCCCTAAATGCGTTTTCAATTTGATTACAAAAACGTTAATAGAATAATAAACTTGAAACAAAAAACGTTAGTAAATCTGTGACTTTAGAGAGAAAAAAAAAGAATCATGACAATAAGTAAAGACTATTAGAAAAGTAATTCTGTTGGTTGAAAAACTCTTGGTTAAAACAGTTTCCTCTTTATGGTTGGCTGATTGTCTGTCTGACCCTATCTATAGAAAAGTTCATTGAAACAATCTCTTCAGCCTCAGGCTATTTTTCACAATAGAACACTGATACTTCAATGAAATCAAAGAAACTCGTCGGGTTCTGATCATTATTATTACTGCACACCAAAGAAATACTTTTTTACACAATAAATACAATTAAATACAGCGTGATACCGCTATAATGAACCCTGATATAGTGAACACTCGGCAATAGTGAACGTTTTTATTTGTCCCGTCTGAATTGCTATCTAACAAATGTTATTTCACTCGCTTATACTGCACGGTCTAAAAATTGGTTGCTAATTTATAGTTAGTTCAAATTTACATTTAGCAAGTATTTAGATAATTGTTTATTATTTTTTCTATGTGATAAGTTCAAAAGTTTGCAATTGTGTCATTCAATTGAAAATGCAATAATACAGATCATAAACGAATTTTCTAAACGAGCATTTTGAAATTTTATGATTTTTTTAGCATTTGAAATTTCATGATTTTCTCTAGGTTTAACTGAGATCACTTTTCTCAAAAAAATAATGGAATTGAATCAAAATTTGCTATGAAAAGTTTCTCCCCTGGTTTAGCGTCAATTTTTCAAGCGAGGAAAAATTAAATAAATAAGAAAACCTGTTTGATTGCAGAATGAAACTTGTTTCCGCAATCAAACAGGCGTTTCTTATATCCTTTCAATTGGGATTTCAATATATACTCACTTAAATAGTGTGTCTTTTGTTTCTTTTAAAAAATATGTGGCTATCTTAACGAAACAATGTGTGCAATCTCAAGTGTTACTTTTCGCCCAACTTATTCATCATATCCACTTAGTGTCTTTTTATCTGGTGGAAATGTCTAATTTCTTTACGACAATTAGTTCTGTATTAATGAATTATTCACTAAAATATAAAAGATATTCTTCCAAGGTTGTGCAAAACTTCAATCAAGTTTCAGCTTCTTTGTAAGCAGATCTTGAAAACTGCTCCAAATACTTCCACAATAAAAACTCTCTAATTTTCCGTCTGCAATAAAAAGTTCTTCTGCAATAAAAGTTCTTCCGCCTGCAATAAAAGTACTCACCAGCACAGTTCAAGCAAACTTAGTTGCTTTAAATAAAATAAACATACCTGGTTGTCTTGAATACCAGACCAAAAAAAAAATTAATAATCAAATTGTTGCAAATTGAGAATAACTTCAACTTGCCTACGCAAGATTTCAGTTCTCAATTAAAAAAAAAATAATAATCTAAGATGCTTTTTTTATGTTAAATAAAGTATTTAATAAATAAATACAATATTAAACTAATATTTTTGCTCGACAATTGTATAGCATTGGTCAGTTTTATGAGGTTTTATTCTTGCCAGGGATATAAAACTGTATTTCATTAGGAATATTAAATTACTTTTTCATTTTCGATTTTAAAAAGAGAATTAGTATTATCTCAAATATCTTATGCATCCGATTGGGCGAAAGTCGGCATGCAACTATATTATTAATAAAAAAAAAAGTGATATTTATGCATTACAATTTGTTGTAGAGTTGTTAACGTGACATAAAAAATATGTAGATTTTATCCTCAAATTTACCTTTATTTAAAAAATATTTAAAGTTTACTTAACTTATTATTTTTAATTTTAATTTTAGGGTCCAACTTACAAAAAATAAAATTTTTTAAGGAAGTTTTTTTAAAAAAACACTTGTTTAACCCAATCGGATACTTTATGCGTGCAAAAGTCTGACATAATTTTTGCAACAATCGGGGATAAAATATTAAAAAATTTATTGCATATTTTACTTACTCTTTAATTGTTAACCAATCATTCTAAAGAGAAAAAAATAACTATAAAATATTCGAAGAGTTATTAACGTGACGTAAAAAATATGTAGATTTTATCCTCAAATTTACCCTTATTTTGAAAAATATTTCATAAATTTTAAAAGTTTACTTGACTTATTATTTTTATTTATAATTTCAAAAACCAACTTAAAAAAAATAAAACTTCAATTAAGGCTGTTTTTTCCACAAAACCCAGTCGGTTACTTTATGCATGTAAAAATCTGACATAATTTTTGCAACAATCGATTATAAAATATTAAAAAAAAGAATTATAACACATTTTACTTACTCTATAATTGTTTACTAATCATTCTAATAAAATAATAAAAACTATAAAATAATCAAACTTACCTATTTATGATATATCTTTTTTGATATTTTCAGTTACCAAAATTGGTAATCCATTGGAATGTCTGATATAATAAAAAAGAATGTTAATTACCCAGAAATGTTATCCATAAGCAGAACACAAATAAAAACTATTCCATGAGAAAGGCACACAAACACCACATCCACATACTCCGTTAACAACAATAGCCTCTATGCAACACTAACCAATGAAGGCATGCTTCCGCTCTGTGACGTAGCGACCGGTTTTCTTATCTCTCTCTCTCTTTTTTAATAGATTCACTATTGGAGGAAGTTATTTTTTGAAATATTTTATTTGGATTGTTTGGTTCCTTGCTTTTTTGTCCTTTATAACATGATTTACCAGATTTTATTTTTGGCAAATCACTGATCTTTAGTTACCTTCCTAAAACAATCACAAGTGACGTTAACACAGAAAATAGTTTCAGATTTAATACATTTTTCCAACAATCATGTTTTGCAGGAACGGGGCTTTTTCTTTTAATTAATTTCTAGAAAAAAAAATTTATGAAATCCTTGATCATTAGTTATCTTCCTAAAACAATCACAAGTGACGTTAACGCAGAAAATAGTTTTAGATTTAGTAAATTTATCCAACAATCATATTTTGCAGGAACGGTGCTTTTTCTTCTAATTTAATTTCAAGAAGAAAAAAAAATTAATGGAATCACTAATCTTTAGTTACCTTCCTAAGACAGTCATGAGTGACGTTAACACAGAAAATAGTTTTAGATTTAGTAAATTTTTCCAACAATCATAAAACAGTGCTTTTTCTTCTAATTTAATTTCAAGAAGAAAAAAAAATAATGGAATCACTAATCTTTAGTTACCTTCCTAAAACAGTCACGAGTGACGTTAACACAGAAAATAGTTTTAGATTTAGTAAATTTTTCCAACAATCATGTTTTACAGGAACGGTGCTTTTTCTTCTAATTTAATTTCAAGAAAAAAAATTATGAAATCATTGATCTTTAGCTACCTTCCTAAAGCAATTACAAGTGACAGTAACACAGAAAATAGTTTGAGATTTGGTAAATTTTTCCAACAATCATGTTTTGTAGGAATGGTGCTTTTTCTTTTAATTTAATTTCAAGGAAAAAAATAATGAAATCACGGATCTTTAGTTACCTTCCAGAAACAATACCAAGTAAAGTTAACACAGAAAATAGTCTTAGATTTAATAAATTTTTCCAACAATCATGTTTAGCAGGACCGGTGCTTTTTCTTTTAATTTAATTTCATGGAAAAAAATAATGAAATCACTGATCTTTAGTTACCTTCCTAAAACAATGAAAAATGACGTTTACACAAAAAATAGTTTTAGATTTAGTAAATTTTTCCAACAATCATGTTTCGCAGGAACGGTGCTTTTTCTTCTAATTTAATTTCAAGAAAGAAAATTCTTGAAATCACAGATCTTTAGTTACCTTCCTAAAACAGTCACGAGTGACGTTAACACAGAAAATAGTTATAGGTTTAGTAAATTTTTCTAACAATCATGTTTTGCGGCAACGGTGCTTTTTCTTCTAATTTAATTTCTAGAAAAAAAAATTTATGTAATCCCTGATCTAGTTAGCTTCCTAAAATAATCACAAGTGACGTTAACACAGAAAATAGTTTTAGATTTAAGTAAATTTTTCCAACAATCATGTTTTGCAGGAACGGTGCTTTTTCTTCCAATTTCACTTCAAGAAAAAAAGATAATAATGAATTTTTTACTGTTTGAGGAATATTTTTCGATTCATAATGAATAAGAATTCGATTCATAATCAATAACCTCAAGTGAAGGCACACAGATTAATTATACATTTTAGATTTAGTAAAAATCTGGTATTTTTAAGCTGTTTTTTCTTCAATTTTCACCCCATAACTTCAAAAAATAAATATAATGAATTTTTTATTGTTTGAAACAGATTTTTCGATTCATAATCAAAATTAAAATCAACATAAAGATTGATCAATATAGCAAGTTTTCTAAAAAACGGTATAGAAGTTTTCCCTAGATGCCCCATTTCTAGGAGAGCCTCAGCCAGTCGTATTTTATATATATATATATATA